CTTCCAAAAATAACACACCTGAAAAGACAGTTTAATGAAAAAGTTGATTGTTCTACATACCGGATATATAACGAGTGAAAATGCATTTCAAAGTAATTAATTTCTCTTCACACTTTTTGTAATTTCATGAAAGTAAGAAATACTTACTTATTCTGGTGTCTGGCTTGAAATTTAGGAATATAAATACAAGTTGTAAATATGAATTGAAATTTCTCATTGTTTTTTTCTTAGATTTTCAAAAAAAAAACTAATCGATTAGCCTGTATTTGTGTATCAAATATAGGTGTAAATCTAGGCAATATGGTGATGGAGTCCATCATAGCTTGAAAAAATTTAGAGTGCGGCCATTTTACCACTTTTATAATACCTTTCGTGCCAATAAATGGTTCTCACAATCACTTTGTTTAAAACATTCATGTAAATCGACAGAATTTAGGATGTTCAATAATCTTGTCACCGTCTCATATCGTTCGTTGTTTCAACTCTAAATTATTTGTACATTTATAAAGATGTTAAGAAACATAATTTCAGTTTTTTTTAATAACCACTAATATGAAATTAAAAAGCAACTCCATTAGATGGTCGTTCATTTTTATTATGATTCTTCAAAAAATATTATCAGACACAGAATGGTAAACAATATGAGACTCACCGTAAATGCTCATTTATTTCTACGCTCACGTCTGTGAAAGACAAAAAGTGAGGAAAATATAATCAATGAAAAATATTCTTTAACAATTTAGTAGATTTACATGTTGGAAGAAGAGAAAACATGATTTAAAGTAAGATGTGAAAGTTGTAGAGTACTGCTAGAAGGTTAAGAATGAATACATCTGCATTAATGTTACTGATCTTCAGTTACACCACCCAATCTCTCTGATTACACATTACGGTTGTGCTTCATTGCCTGATGGGAAGACTGTGTTTCCCTACAAGACCATAACAAGAGGTTAGTAATTTCATGAACTACTGATGTTGTGACTTGGTTCAGTCAACAAAGCCCCTTTCACAATCTGCATGAAGTCTAGCTCGTAGAAAAGGCCAAGGAACTCATGTTTAACTAAATCAAAAGTAACAAAAGCGAAGTTCGAGGAGATTTTGCAGTTGTAAATGCATCAAAATCCCGTAGGAAGTCAGTCGAGACCCGAATAGCTCATTGGTAATTTCTCTGACTGTAAAGCTACGTGACACTAAATTGAATTTGTCAGAGAAAATAAGTTCCTTCAGGATTGCAGTTACACCTTGCTGACGAGTGTCAAATGGCGAAACTTATGTTCGTGGTTTCTTGTCAACCATCTTCAATCACCACCCACCTTACATGATAATGCCTTTTCTTCTCCTTAAAGAACTTTCAGTGTGATACTTTGTTTCATTTTTAGGTTGTTTTACTGGCGTTCTGTATATCTCTCAAAAATCTTAATTAGAGACTGGTTAGCACAAACACCAAATGAACTTAAATTTGTTTCTATTTTTATTCATCTATTCAGATATAACAGGAACTTTATGCCGAGACTAATACTATTTTTTACACAGCTTATTCTCTATAAAAATTTAAATATGTCAAAAAAGATATTCATATATACAAAGTTATCGTAAAAACAAAGTTGGTTCTCCATTTTCATAATGAATCTTTGCGTAAAAAATTTAAAAGTAATCGAAAAGCAAAATTCCAAATTCACAGTATTTTAGCATTATTTTAAAAGGTTCACCATTATCTACGACTTTCAGACAATAAGCATTAAACCGGCAATTGACCATCATATTTTCATTTGATTGACAATTGTAATATCATAGATAAATATTAATTATTTAAACATTAATTGATAACGATCTATATACATATTAACTTACAAGTTGGGATGCTTTTTTTACATTTTTTCCGTGTTTACTTGTTTATCTGTTTAATCTCTTTTCACTTCCTTTCTCCCGTTGCTTCTTCTCTTTCCCCTTCATTTTTAATGTTTTTCTCGTTTTGCCTTATAAATGTTTTTGTCATAAAGAAGATTACCACTCAACTTGTACATTTAAGGTATGGTAAATATACAGGAGGGAGACGGAGAATCATAATGAATGTATTTATGTATAATTAATAAATCCCTATCATTACAGACCACAAAATCAGTTGTTCATCGGCTGTCCAATAAGTATCATGTTACAAAATGATAAAGAATTATTTTATTGGAAATACAAGCCGACTTAAGTAGAATAATCGTTGGATACCAGGGGACACTAGGGAATCTCTAAATATCACTATACTGAAGTTTATCATGTCCTTACTTGTGATTTATTTCCACAGGTGGTTCCAGGAGTTCTGATTAAAAGTTGTGACTAGAGGTGTTTAACTGTGTTAGACGTAAGAGTTACCCACCGAAGACAGTGGAATATCACATACGTTGAATCCGCACACTATCGGGTGACGTTTTGGTGATCTCAAAGTTAAGTGTTTACTGAGAAACCTGAGAATCGTAATTCCAACCAATGGAGGGGTTGCGGAGGTCCACTGCTCAGGATTCCTATGCTAGAACAAAGTATTGAGTCAGTCTCTTCTGGTTTTAATAGTTTATCCAACATAAGTTGGTTGCTGATCTCACTAGCATTCAACAATCTCCACAAATCCCAACCCTGAAAAAATTATTTTTCTGTCTTTGAACATCTCTATCTGTCATAAAATAATATACGACAATGATGAGAGTAAAATCCATACATAAAATGATGTATTTAGTTAGAACAGTTGTCGTACTTTGTAGGATGAATAAAATTTTATTCTGCCATCAAGTTTTTATCCTCTTCCTTATATCTGCGAGTCATAGTGTTTCTCTTGCTTTTAGTACCAGTTTTTGGAAGCAATACTGTATCATTGAAACACAATTTATTCCAGCAACTGATTACACAAAAATAAAAACTAAACGTCAATGATCACGTAACGGTCGTTTTGCCCAAGTATGCAATTCTTCAACAGCATGGATGCATTATATTACCAAGGTCCGAAACATTCAAGCCCTATATCCAGCTAGTTACTTTGAGACCACCTAGAAAGAATTCAATATTTTACACTTTCAGTTTCAATCAATCGGCGATATTTCCGAAGTACGATCTATCCTCGTTCTGGTAATCTTATTTCCGTAAGTCGACTGAAGTAAAGCGTGCAAATGTTGGGTATCAGCTCATTTTCCCAGGAGTTCAACGCTCTCCGCTCCTGAAGAGCCCCACGCTAGGACGAAACAGATGTCAAGTGCTTACTAGTTTTCAGGGGTTGTTTGACTATTGTTGAACCGTAATGCAAACTTAAAAATATTTTTTCAATCAAACTGTTCTCAGACTATTCTGACATTGGAGTATTTGAGAAAATTATTCTCTAAAAGTCTTCACAAAACTAAAACAGAAAAATTTCAGTTTCCTTATCATCATATTTATACCAATGATTTAAAGAAAAATCAGGTTTTAAGTGAATCAAAACAGCAGAATAGATTTTAATGCGTCTGAACACCTACTGAAAAAAGGGTTTAATAAGCGACGTGCTTCAACAAATCATGTTTTGATTTTTAATGTTGCCTAAGTGATATTAACCAGAAAACAAAATTCAACTGTCTTCTGTTTAATAATTAATTACCTGGTAATATTAAATAGTTTGTTTTCCGACCCTTGGTATTAACAAAATTCCATCAGCTTATGAAACTGGCTCTAATTTGGTGAGTAATCACCGTATGTTAGCTGAACAATATGTCACACAAGACCAGAATGACGTAGTTGTAAAGACTTTGTACCTAAATGACAAAGTTTTGAATCTTAAGACGAATTTAAGTTTCTTTGAGCATTCCAAAAAGTTTTGAATGTCATTCAGTGTTTGTAGAATCATGACCAAATCGACGTAGATAATATCTTTCATTTATTCCCGATTTGTTATATAAACATATAATCTACGTTAGAAATATTCAGTCTAATTCGAATAATTCAATTCAATATTTTTTAAATAACTATAGTCTTTTATTGCAGTGATCTGAAATCACCGTTTATGTTTATCAAGTTAGCCACTATACGATAAAAATGTATTCACTATATTCTTATAAAGCAAATTATTGGAAAATTAAATCTACATTCATTTATTTCAAATCTACCTACTAATAATTTCATTAGGTAAATTCAGATTTCAATTGCATTAGTAATTATTCCCGTGCAACTTACTAATATTAATATAGGCTTAATCTGATAACTTGCACTTAAATCAAAAAGAGAAAATAAAATCTCGAAATAAAGATCTTTTTAAATTTTAGAAGCGACTACTTGGAATTATGTCAAAAACATAATTCCATTATGAATTGATTTTAAATAAACTACTATAAAATTAGATAAATTTTTTATTATTATTAGGAATTAGACTTCAAATCTACTCAGCTGTATAAATAAAGCTACTTCCCGATAATATTCCAGGGAAATAGTTTCACATCAAGTACCAAAGAGAGTAGGACTTCTTACTTACTGATTGTCAGCTTAGTGACATGGTAATAGTAATATTAATAACAATATATATATATATATATATATATATATATATATATATATATATATATATATATATATATTTGCATGCTTGGATAATGATAAACCTTCTTTGTAATCATATGATGTACATCTTTCTGTTAGGCTACATATCAGAACAACATAACTTACTTAAACTTAATTGTTAGTTAGCTGACATGAATAAGTGAATTATTCGAAGGGATCTTGAACATGTTAATTTGATAATACTTCATTTCCTCTTAGTTAAAATAAGCTTTGAAATGTATATTTAAAAAAAAAATTTTCCTTTACCATTGAATGTATTTGTGTATAAGTATTCATAGATATCCAATCTGAATCAAAGTTCACAGTTTTACATATATTATTGACTTATTGATTATTTCAAATTTAAAAATGAGTCGATATATATACCAACATTGAAATATCCCATATTTCGTTAGAATAATTTTAAAGAATACAAATCAACTTAATTTTTTTTTAAAATGCTTTTGAAAATTATTATTCTAATTTATGGATTGATTATTATATTAATTTATCGAGAAGGAAATACTTTGAATTATTTATCACAGGAATGTGATAGTAAATCAGAATGGGGCCCATGGCGTTGTCCTGGTATAGGAACAAAATGTACTGCTAACATTGCAACACGTTATAAATGCATCGGTGGAAATTGTACAAGTGATAGTCTATGTGCTAAACTTGAAAATCATACTGTAAGTAATAAATGTTGGTTATATATATATATATATATATATATATATATGTATATATATATATATATATATATATATATGTTGTATTCGAGGATCTTACTTTTTCCTTTGTGTATGTTGAGGCCTATTGACACAGAGGCTGCTGCTAAACTAGTTGTCTTCATCTGCACTTGTTTGTGTGTATGGGATAGAAGGGCCAGGTCATCTTCTGATTGATTCCGAGCTGTCCATTGTATTCCGTGCTTCCTTTCCGATGCCGAGGTCTTCATAATCCGGTCAATCACCAGATGAAAGAGTAAGCAGCCTCGTCTGAATCCGGTTCTCGCTTGGAATGCATCTGTCAGCTGTCCTCCATGCACCACTTTGCACTGTTTTCCGTCGTATGAATTCCGGATGATGTTAACGATCGTTTCAGGTACACCATAGTGTCGAGGAAGTTTCCATAATGTTCACCTGTCCACACTATCAAATGCTTTCTCATAGTCAATGAAGTTGATATATAGTGACGAGTTTCACTCAACTGATTGTTCAACGATGATCCGTAGTGTCGCGATTTGCTCCGTGCAAGACCGATCCTTACGGGATCCGGTCTGTTGATCTCGAAGTTGGATGTTTGCTGAATCCTCCAGCAACACTCTGCTGAAAACCATTCCCGGTACTGACAGTAGTGTGATTCCTCTGTAGTTCTCACATTTGCTCAGATCTCCTTTCTTGGTTATCTTGATAAGATGCCCTGCATTCCAGTTTGTCAGTGGCACTTGTTCTTCCCCCCAAATCTTCCCGAATAGAACATGGAGCATGTTTGCAGTTACTTCCATATCTGACTTTAGAGCTTCGGCTGGTATATTATCAGGTTGTGCTGCTTTTCCACTCTTCACTTGACTAATGGCCATCCCGGTTTCTTCGGTCGTTGATGGAGTGAAATCTGTAGGCATGTCTGTGTGTGCTGCTTTGATGTCAGGCGAGTTCATTGGAGCTAGCCTGTTCAAGAGTTCCTGAAAGCGTTTTACCCATCTAATCCTTTGTTTTGAATCTCGGTGATTGTCTTACCTTCTTTGTCCTTGACCGGTCTCTCTGGTTTACTATATTACTCTGTCAGTTTCTTCGTTGTGTCATATAGCTGTTTCATAGTTCCTTCTCTTGCAGCTTTCTCCACTGTCGTTGCTAGGTCTTCCACATATTTCTGCTTGTCGGCCCTGATGCTCCTCTTCACCTGCTTGTTTGCTTCAGTGTATTCAACTTGCGTCTTGAATCTCTCTGCTCTTGTTCTGCTGTTGTTAGATGATGTCTTCGTGTTCTTTCATTGTTGAATCTTGTCCAAGCGTTCGATGCGTCGAAGTTCGTGCTTCTTTGATCTCTCTCTCTCTGATAGTCCTCCATCGTAGTTTCTTCTTTCAGTAGATCCTGCAACGTTTGGAACCTGTTGTTGCGAGTTGTCTTGAATTGGTTGAATTTGTTAGTATCTCGAAAGAAGGCTATATTGAACGTTTGTACTGTTTCTTCCCCAGTTGTCCAGTGTTTCTTTACATTCAGTTTCATCTTGCCCACAACCAGGTGGTAATCTGAAGCTAAGTCAGCTCCTCTCCTGGTTCTCACGTCTTCCATTGTCCTTCTGAATTTTCTATTGATGCAAATATGATCTATCTGGTTCTCCGTGGTGTGATCAGGTAAGACTCACGTAGCCTTGTGTATGCGTTTGTGTGGGAATATTGTGCCGCCTATAACCATTTAGTTGAATGCACATGGATTTTCAAATCTCTCCCCATTTTCGTTTCTCTCTCCCAGTCCATGTCGTCCCATGATACATTCATAAACGTTGTTGTCCATTCCAACTTTAGTGTTTAGGTCTCCCATCAGAATTTTCAGGTCCTTTCCTGTGCACTTCACTATGATCGATTACAGCCTCTCGTAAAATTGATCTTTATCGTCTTCAATGCTATCGTTGGTGGGTGCATAACATTGGATAACATTCATCGTGATTCCCTCCTTTTTTCTTCTGAATGATGCTTTGATGATCCTGGATCCATGATATTCTCTTCCTATAAATGCTTCACGTGCTTCTTTGTACAACATTAGAGCAACTCCCTGAGTGTGTGGAGCATTGTTCTCTTCGTGACCGGAGTACATCAGCACCTCTCCTGTACCTAACCTTTACTGTCCAGCTTGGGTCCAATGGGTTTCGTTTACTGATCCCGAGAACCACCAACTTTTACCTCCCTATTTCTACAGCTATTTCGATGGTCCTCTCGGTCTCCCACATTGTTTGGACGTTCCGTGCACCTATGTCTGTTGCTGCTGTGATTGTTAGAAGGGGAATCGGCCTCGTAACTTCCGAATAATTTCGGCTTTCATCATGAGGTGTTACAATCCTTCCTTTAACTCCCAGGATAGAGTTTCAATGGTTTAATTTATTTAGTCTGGTTAGCGTCTTTTAGAAAGGTTGTTTTCTTCAAGGTGAGGTTGTCGAGTCCACGACCAGCTCTCCTCCTTTGTGTGGGCTTGGGACCGGCAGTAGACCCAAAAGAGCTATGGATGGAGTTTAAGATTTATCCAAGACGTTCACTTAATCCAGATTCAGAGAGATAATGATATTTTATCAGACACTTTTGAATAAATTACTGCTCAGTAACTTTATGGTAAGTATCAAAATAAGTGTTTACAATATTCACTATATATATAAGAATTCTCTTTTTTATTCACAATCAACACGGAGTCTAGCATAAATGTAAGTTGTCTCATGTTGACATACCACATCAGTTCAGAGATGTGAAATTAACATATGGAGTAGCAAAGGAATCGTAATAGTTATATTACTATTGATGGTGAGAAAAATTTGACATTGGAGTAAATGGTTCGAAATGACGGAATAGAAAAGTTTGTGTGAAGTACTCAGACAATAAGTTGTCACTTGATTGAAACCGAATAATTGGCATTAATAATACGAACTGATAATCGACGGATATAAATGCAACCAAACCGGTTCTCGTACTCAAGATCCCTAGGTCCCACGGTGTGAGCTTAACCTTTAGACTGCTGAACTGGAATCTAGTGGTGTACATGTTCAACTACAATCAATTCGCGCTACTGGAAAACCATCCTTCATTGTCTTCGATGGACAAGTGCCTCACATCCAATATGGTGGAAGTGCACCAGTCACGGTTTTTCACTATTCTTTCAAGAATTTCTCCTCAGAATTAGTCGCTAGTGAGAACATGATTACTAGTAGTATATGGGGTTTTTGAAGACTATTTAGTGTAAACACTACATAACAGACTGGCTAGACAAATATACATGTATTCAGTAGTTGAATTCTAAATTCATATCATGATGTAGTATTTGTATCAACCATTAAATGCTTCGTATGTATTTGGTCGTTTCTACCATATCCAATAACATACAATACAATGTGTCTTTACAGTCTTCTCCTATTCTGATGTCCATGTTGATTTATAACTACTGAAGTACATTTTGTACGTATTCATTAAAAATTGTAAGAATTACTAGTGTAATTTCACTCAATGATAAATGTTTCAGTAATACCCTTAATATAGTTGCTTTTACACCTACCAATATATTAACAGTACAATTTTTCGTATTATTATTAATCAAGCAATCAGATTCCTGCGTAAAAGTTCTTCAACGTGGTGAATGTGAACCTTGGTGGACCAACTGGTCATCGTGGTCTAAATGTACAACAACTTGTGGATTCCATGAAAAACATCGTTCCCGGATTTGTACAGGAGCTTTTAATTATAATAGTTACAAATTTAAGGTAAAAGATTCAATTTTAAAATCTTGTGCATCTGTCGAAAGAATACACGAAGGAGTTGAAAAAGTCTCTTGTCCTGTAAGTCGCCTATGTTCAGCTATTAATGGTGGTTGGAGTCAATGGAGTGAATTCACTGAATGTTCTGTTACATGTGGCATAGGAAAACGTGTTCGACGTCGTCACTGTGATCATCCTAGACCACAAGAAGGTGGATTATACTGCATAGGAACTGACCACCAAGAGGTAATTAATCATTTTTCTCAATTATGTCAATTTCATTCTAAATGAACTAACTGTTGTCAATTTTGTAAGTGATATAGTATAAACTATATGATCAGGAGAAGCTATTGTCTACAAAATTTAATGTTGTTACTATAATTAAATATACTGACAAAATTTAATATTCCAAAATTCTGTTATAGTATTTTGCAAATCAATATCATGTTAATTTTAACAACATTGATCCACACGTAGAACAAAATATTAACTGAAGATATCTTTTGTTGCAGACTGACATTAGATATAAGACTACTGAAAAGGATCATTAGGGAACATTTTTACATTAGATTAAGACCCCACACTAGAATCCATTCACTATCCTACACAGAATCCAACTCAGGACAAGTGTAGCTCAAAATCCAACGGTTCACTCTTTTAACGTCACCCATTTCATACCATCAGGGTGCTTGGTACCTGTGTGGTTGCGCCACAGGATTGAGCTGTACTATCCAGATTATAGCGCTAAAGCCTATATGGTATCTGGTTCTCCTGTAAAGCGAGATTTGGCTGTACTGCTCGGGTTATAAAGTTTAAACCTGAGCGGTGTCTGTCTCTCTTGCGGAACAGAATTGAGCTGTACTGTTTGGGTTGTCACGTGAAAGTCTGGATAGTGTCCCTTTCTTTTGGAAAATAATGTAAAATTACCCTAGCCCACAAGCGTACCTAACTGTGAACTTCGCTCCATAGAGTAAAAGTTATCAAATGTCATTGAAGTTTGTTTGTTTTTTTCAAAAAAACCAGTTATATAAGGAACAAAATGAATAGGATTTACTTCCATAAAATCTTAAATAGAATATTGGTTTATTCAACTGACTGTATACTTTCTAAGGGTGGAAAGAATTAAATTACCTTATTTCTTTAAATCTAACTGTTATCCGATTCTATCTTTAATGATTCTCCATGTATATCTAATATTTCATTCAAGCTCTTTGCGAGTAAACTAAACTGTCCACGTAGAAAAAGTGTCAAGTGATGGATAACGTTAAACGTTCAGTGTATCCAACTTAATGTAATTAAAATAGTGTTTATTGAATCAACTAACAATTGCTAGAAAAAATAAACAACTTAGAACAATTACTCTTTTCAATAAATTTGGATAACATAATATGAAGACAAAGATTACTAAAGATCTGAAAATCTGCATCCTCTTAAATAAATAATTTAGATATTCTCCAAACACACAATACATACTCATAACAATCTAGTCTCCATGACGTCATTCAGTTCAAGTTCACAGATCATATAGTACTTCATATATATTTCGATCTAATTCAGCTGTGAGTTTTCTTTTTTCCTTTTCAAATGCAACGTCAACATTGCATACTATTTATTTCCATGACAGCATTACTAAAATTATCTGTGAATTAATGCAGATGGATGCAACTGGCTCATCTAGTTCGAAGAGCGTAATGCTACTTAAACCAACTAAACATAACATTATTCCTGGTATCTATACTGGTTTACATAATTTTTATTCTAGTGATAACAACCCATCATTTTTCAATATTATTTGCTTTTACTAAGATATCTTACTGATATGAACCTCTCAATCCTTTACTTTTAATATCTATAGGTGCTTCGTGATGATTGAAAATTTTCAAGACATGTTTTGTAATAAGCACATTAGTTTACAACTGCAAAAAAGGATAAGAAAATTACTTAAGTTTTACTATGCTTTCCGTGTATTAAATTGAGTTCTTTTGAAATTTTTTCATCAGAATTTTCCGTTTTAGTATAGAAATTTTTATAAACAGGTATTCTGTGAAGGTTATTTACCGTGCCCACGAAAAGGACAGTGGTGCTCTTGGTCACCAATCATTCAACATTGCACACGTAATTGTGGACCACGTGGGATGGGATTAAGATTACGCCAGTGTGCTTGCCCGAAGCCGTCGCAAGATGGTGAAGACTGTGAAATACCACCAGAAACAGCAGAAATGGCAGTTAATCTATTAGTTAATAACATTACTGACGCTCCAACGGGATCTGCACTTGAAGCAATACTTAAAGGTGAAGGATTATGGGAACCATGCAACCGTCATCATTGTTCATATTTAAAAACATTAAATACTGAAGAAGATTTATTATTGTTGGAGGATTTAAATCTTCAAAGAGCAGAAGATGCCTGGATATCATCAGGTGGTCTACCACAGAGAATTCATGGTCCCTTAAAACTTTTCTGTCCATCATCACGTAATTCTCGTAAGAAAATATTCGATAAATCTGAACGCTTTCCAAAATCCAAGTTTTACTGGACTCGCTCAATTCCCACTTCTTCAAAAGAACCCTATTATATTCCGGGAATACCAATAGTGAATTCAAATCTATTTATCGTTGAAAATGATCACTTGACTATTCATAGTTTAGACCCATCGACTATGGGAATTTATCGATTTGGTTACGAGTATGAACCTGGCTATTTTGAAACAGTTTGCTTTTTTCCTGTTTACATTCATCAATGGCAACAAGTATGTAGTTATAATGCGTCCAATTTGAAGCTCGAAAGTAACTGAATTCAAAGTAATATATTTTTATCAGTATAAGGGACTTGTGGAGATAGTAGTATTTTCATGGTTGAAATCAGGAGTCGATCTAACCTAAACCACCACTAAAAAACTGTGGGCACCGGACGTCCTTTACATCCTAGTATTGGACCCTTCAGCGATGCACATCCATTATCCTATACGCAAGACTCAGACCCAGGGCGATTGGTCTCACACACAATCACTGAGTCGGCCTCCAACTTTGTTGAAGTCTAACTTTAATCAACTGTGGATGCGCACTGCTGAAAAGTTCCGTACTAGAAAAAAGCGGCCGTACACTACTTCCAGATTTTCAATAGTGGTCTAGCTTAGATCGACTTATAATATATTTACATTTCAAACAATTCATAAGTGAATCGTATTTTTTAAAGTAACAATGAATTTGGAGCTTAGATCTGATTAGCAATAACATGTTGATGGAAAAAATAACGCAATTTCATAAGATAAAGTAATCTAACAACAACTTGACTCATAATAAATATCAACCATATGTTAAATCATTAAAAAAACTTTCAAAATGTTCATTTTATTAGGGAATATTTCAGACAACTCGTCTATTTGATTACAATTACCCTGTGTAATTGATTAAATACGGCGTTAATTAACACTAGTCGAATATCATTTGAAATAAATTATTAGCACAGCGAAGTGACCGAAGGACTGATAATCATTACGTTCAATATATTTTGATCAGCTCTGGAATCCAGGACTCGCTGTTCGTACTGTTTAAAAGAGGGTTTCCTATTTTTTAAAACTAAATATACTACTTTATTTAAAAATAAATAGAACAACACTTTTTGTAAAATTATGTGTTTAGGTATTATCTCATGGAGAAACATTTGACTTAGTTTGTAATTCATTGGGATTATGGCCTATTATAAGTAAATCTACCACAACAAAATGGTTCATTTATTGGAACGTAACTTTATTGGAAAAAGAAGAGCAGAATGATACAAAAAAGCATAAATTATGGTGGTATACAGAACTGAAAAATTCTCATATCGATAAACATGAAGGAAATAATTCATTTGACAATCAAACTGATAATCCATCAATGTTTGGAACACAATTCACATTATGGGATACAGAACATAAGAGACTGTATGATACTGTGAAAAAAATGACAGGATATTATGAATGTCATATATTTAATCAACTTAATTCCACATATAATCGAACATTTATCACGCAATCAATTCATCTTATAATAAAACCACCTCCAAATATATGGACCTTAGTAAGTGATAAAATTTTATTTTCATGATAAGAGATTTTTATACACTTGAATAGTATATTTGTTTTGTTAACGTCTTTACCAAGAAATATCACCATATTGACGTCTAAGCGAAGAGTTCCACCTTATCCTTATAGCTTCAAAATAAGAATGTTAACCAATCTCTTACTGAACCATATTACTTACTAGATTACTTGGTCTTAAATTTGTTGTTAATCGAAAAGACTAGTATTTTTCTGTAATTGATGTTTAATCAGTATTTATGCATCCATTCAAAGTTCATCTGTTGACAGAAACTCATTGTTTTAGTTCGTTGATTGTGAAGTTTGATTTGACTCTGAGGTAGTTTTCGCCTCATGTTGACTTCACATTCTGGCGTTCATTGGGATCATACATTCTTCCATAGAATTTGACCGAATAGAGTTCGTCTTCCATGATGGATATGAAAGAGGATCCTTTAATGAGCTATCATTCCAAAGAGCGCTTGTATCGATGATATATTGCTTGGTATAGACATTTACTGAATGGTTCAAGCGTTTCCTGGATGAGATAAAGGCTTATGTTTACCAGAGTTGAATTCAAAGCATTTTCGACTGCAGATTAAGTCGACGCTTCTCCGAGAATAGCTAACACCCATATTATTCGATACACTTAAGCACCTCTGAAATAATCGCTCTTAGTTTACTTTCTGAACTTCGCGTTATTATAAAATCGTCCTGATATGTCGAAACTTCAGCACTCCCAGATATGATAAAGTTCTTAGCCTGTTGATGACGAGGTACAGGTTGCCACGGACTGATCTAATGTCGTTTCCTATAGCCTATTTTTGTCAGATTCCATCAAATTAATCGATTACGGAGATGTCAACTTCTAATCTAACAGATTAAATGTATTGGAGAACTGTCTCTACAGTTCGGTAGCTTCGGATGTTTACGGTCAAAAGCTATCTCATAAGGAATAAACAATTTAACTCTGAATATTAATGTTGATAAAAAAAATAACTAGACACAATAATGAGAATCATTATGAACACAAAGTAACCGACAAAAATGATATGGATTATCCTAGATATAGTTTTTACTATTATATGATATACATTTAAAACATTTAAACAGATAGATGATTCAATTCCCTCGGAATCTCAAGATTGGATAAAATGTCCAGCAAATAAGGAAATCATAAAACAGAGGCGTAGAAGCGTACACTAAAAAGCATCTTTATACTTCCAGCTTTTCATAATATAAACAAGATTGCTAAATAATCACAAAAATTAAATCCATATGACTCCTCTTACAAATCTGAACCAAGGTAAAAATAAAAAAGATAATAGATGAATTTATTGAATTTCGTTAAGTTACGTTTTTAACAGAACGGCGGGACTATAATTTATGGACGAACCAACCAGATTTAGGATAACAGGATTTTGGCACGAAATCCATTCATCCGCTTGTTTAAATAGCGTTTTGGCATTTTAGCTGATGTCAGTTCGTGATGAAAACCCTAAATCTAATTTCTAACCCTAACCATCAACTATAAATTATTATCTTAATTCTTCACATTGGATTACAACCCTCATTTAGCCTCAGTAAGTAGGTAAACATTCCCAAGGTCAAATTGCCGTAACTCAAAGGTCATCAATAAATTATAGTCTCACCGAAACATTCATCATAAAACACTAGAGAGTGAGATAAAGACATTATTTGTAAGTTTTTATTTAAAGGTATAAAAATTAAAATACAATAAAAAGTGTACAAATCAAAAAGTAATTACGTGAATATCAAAGGGTATTATGCAACATTTGAAATTTAGATCTTATCAGTGAGCGAATAAACCTACCCACCAAGGTTACCGTTACAAATCTGTAATTACTATGGATCTTTTTAAAAAAAGCCGGCTTATTTATTAAGTACAGGATTATGCAAATCAGCTTCAAAATGTTTGTGAGCGAAAGCTAGTTCGAATTGAAGTAGGGCGAAGTCAAGAAAATTGAGACCTACTGACTGAAAGTCGTGTTTTAACCACTCTTCTATCCGACACCTGATGTTGATTCAGTGGCATTAATTTATGACTACATTACTATAGTATCAATATTACCATAATCCAAAATTACGGAGTTAATGGAGTAAAATGTAACAAATTAACTGGTAAACAACAATGTTTTTTTCATTTCTAAAATGGAAATACATTGGATCAAAAATTCACATACAACTGATCCCTATATTCCATAATGATCAAACACTTCATCAAATCCTTCTTAATCATTTCATCAGTAAGACTAATATCATTATTCTACTTTAGAAAAGATTTTAAAACTCAAATGACATTATACAATATAGACAGAGAAAAAAAACATTTCAATAATGTTTATTATTAGTTTTCTAATATTTGTTTTCTATAAGGTGAAAGGCTGGTGTTTACAGCATCAAATAAATTTAATAATATTATTTTTGATAAGTATAATAACAAGTCTTTCATATGCAACTTATAAATGGACAATAGCAAAGAAATTATCAAAACTAGAAATTCAAATGAATGAAACAAGAAAGCATAGACAAAGTACCAATTTCGATGACATTTACATTATCAACTAGTTTCGACTATTTGGTAACAAACATGCTTTAATGCAATCGAAATGAATTCAGTTTGACTGAGTTTGTATGAAAGTAACAGTTCAAGAGTAATTATACTGTATAAATAACGTAACAACAGGAGAGCTAAATAAACTATTATCATGAAAGGTAATATTAAAATGTAGAAATGCGTTAATACATTAATTGCTTATATAGAAAATGTAATTTTATTTACAAAAATATGCTTGAAAATAAAAATTATTCGGTTGTGTAACATTTGTTCTTATTTTACACATTACTTACTGAGTTAGACTATAAAATTATTAACATAGTACCTATAAATAGTTTGTTGAATGCTTCACTATAAATCTTCATTTTGATTTAAATAAGATTATGTATGATTCTCAAGAAGACAAGCCGTTTCAACTAATCAAAACAAATATGAAATAACTTATTTTAAACTCTTGTGTATTATGAGGATATTCAGCTGAGGTGATGAGTGTTTTTAGTTGTTTAACGCCCTTGAAAATAGAAAGTTTTTTATTGACAAGCTTTAATTGTCGTTTTGGACATTATCGAGTTTACATTGCTATATCAGATAACAATGTTATTTACCAGTGAAAATAAATTATGCTATGAAAACATGAAAAGTCATTTATTAAGAACAAAGTTTCAACGACAATTACGTAAATGAAACAATGAATTTTATTACTAGTACAGGTAAACCATGACAATGGAATAACAATATAAAACAGACAGAGAAAGTTATTCTAACAAAGAACCATCGAGTGAGAAACTGAATCTCTAAAAAAAAAAACAAAAAGCTCTGTTCAACTGGTAGCATGAGCTCGAAACACTACTTGCACCTTCATGAAGCAAGTAGACCAACTGATTTTGAATCCCAACAGTCCACATCTCCAAGGTTAACTCTATTATTTAGCAGTAATTATCACACCATCAAAGTACGTTCTGAAACTTCTCAAAACTGAATATCGCCTTTGATTCATTATTAAGTAAATATCACTGAGTGACAATAACCGACAATAACCTGTACTGAGTTATTGTGGATCCGTTCAGTCATGCATAATATATTCAATACGTTTACTTATTCAAGAACGTTTAAATTTAACAACCTTATCACATAGTCAAGATCTAATTATTACTAGTGAAGATATAACAGAGAGTGAGTAGTAGACATAAGCTCTTTGATTCATAGTTTAATAGAAGTAAACTGTTTCCTGTCTGGCTCTTCTAATTGGCTACTAGGTTGAAAAATCGAGGACCAATAAGCGTTAACGTATTAGGTGTTGTTCATTAGTCGGTGTTTCAGTTCGTGAACTAGGTCACCTTGCCTACTGGTCACATAGGTAAACTAATGGATAATCGGAATCCTGATTGGACTACGTAATACATGATTTCGAATGGAATCTCAAGTCACAATAGATAACACAACTAAGAAACAATCACCTGATCAAACGGAATAAAAATTAGTTTAAAATGATTACGAAGTCTATTATATAACCGCTTGAAGTAGTTGCTACGATTGTAAAAGTGATGAACATACAATCATTTTATATGATCAGCTTTAACTGTTGCATTCGCTTCATTATAAACAGTAAGATAATACTGATACCGCTAAAAGTGTAGTTAAAGGGGATATATATAAATCTTTGTTTCATTACTGGATTGAATTAAAAAGATTTGTTATATTCAAACTAAATATGATGAGCACAAAATACTCACAAACATTGTTGACCAGCTTTTACCTTCTACAATGTTTCCAACGTGTTTTAAAAAGTGTATAGAAAATATGTAAATTATCATCGTAAAACTAAGGTACCCTTGTTACTTACTGAAATATCTTTACCATTTTCATAACTCTTTTAGGATGATGAGGGAGAATCACGCAATGAAGACATCTTAAAAAAACCATCCCCGATACACGAACCCATGAACAAGTGGATGTATAGAACATACTATTTCAAGAGATTTATTTCTTATCAACAGACATCTTAAGAATTGAATAACCAGCTGTGTATTTCTAAATTTAAACATATGAAAAGTATTTATGAACCGAAAAATTAATGTTCTATTCCAGAACACTTATTGCCACAATCGAACAACTAGACAGAACGAGTACACTAAACTCATACAGAACAAAAATATGTCGAATTAAGTTAATACATTTTAAATAATCGGTATAAACGGAATGCCATGAAAACCGACAACAGAAATATGATTCACGAGTAGAAAGTAATAAAATATACAAAACATTACAGAAACAAACCACTTTTGATCTTATAGTCAATAATTTTATTATCCCTATGATTTTCACCTAAAAAGTTCATAGCTCTCCCCTTCTCTACAAACAGTTAGTCAATTTACGAACAAATACTGATAACCGCAGTGTTTACAAACGAGACACACTATTGAAGGTAGTTGATTACGCCCCTAGTCAAAGTCTAAGCCTTTAGATCCATGTTTCACCCAAATATATACAGACTCATGGATTTGAGCGCACGTAATTCGAATTGCTAACCAAAGCTTTCTAGACATATAATAGTTTTCTCACTCTTACTGGCAGTTGGTCAAACTTATAAGTAGTGTGTGTATCGGTAGCAGGATCGAACATGATGGGCTGTAACAAAACAATATGATTTCTTCTCACTATTTTAAATTTATATTTGAAAACTACATCAGAAACTGAATAAGAGCATAAATAGTATTATTATTATTATTATTATTAGATTATATACAACAAAACTCTTTACAATATTTCAATGTACAATAATTAGATTACAAAAATCTTCAAATATTTGCTCCAATTGAATCACTTGGTGAAATAAGACTAGATTTATGAAGAAGCTTTTGATTAGTAGTAGTACTAATACTAAGAGTACTACTACTAGGCGATTTACTCAACTGATTGACATTACTAACATTAGGAGTCCAATAAAGACATGTAGAATCAATACAACGATCAGTAGCAGGCGGTTTAATTGTACTCAAAAGAGCGTCTACATCAGGCTAAAAAATTATAAACAAAATAAGTATAAGATAAAATATAAGACTAATTGTAACGGATTATTAACAGGATAAATGAAGTTTAATTAATAATCAGCAAATATAAATTTGGAATGTATGAATTTGCATTACAGTTTAATGATTAAAACAATCAACTTTTAGCTATTAAATCTCAGGTGCAAACTCCGCTCAAACTACTTTCGTTCAGGCATTCGAGTAGTGTCATTAGTTTTTTTAATACTTAAGTGGCTGGTGGGTTAGTTATTTTAACGCATTTTCTTCCCATTTATGAGAACCACTAGAAATCATGTTATAGTACAAGCGAAATTGTTTTATTCTAGTGAGTGACTCCATCACAATTTTTTTAAGTACGAACCCAAATAGAATAGGACCTACAATCTTTAGTTCTGTTAGAAAGTATGTAACTATTCACACACTAAATTGGAAATCCAGAAATAGTGTTTCTTTTTATTTTGAATAGGAATGCGTATAGTGCAATCACATGTTACCTGTAAAATATTATCAGAGATTATGCCAACAGTCAAGAGAGTAAGGAAGTTCTAATCTTAAAAATCCTCATTCCCTATTGTAAAAACTGGATAGGAATGAAAACTACTCACAATAAATAAAAAATCTATAGACCACACAATCCACATTTTACAAGAATAATGAATTCGCGTGGAATTTTTATCTATGGATGTTGAAATCTAAGAACTACCTCTTGAAAGATATCATAAACGCAATAACCAAGAAAACCTAAGATAAAACTAGATGAAAATAGGAGAGGGTTGATGAGAGTATCTTGTCATAGTTATGTGACAGATATAAGTAGTATGTAGCAGTGATCGGAAGTGCAATACCTGTCAGCAGAAGATTGGATTGAGGAGAACAGGAGAGGAAACAAAGAACAATTGTAGTAACAACAGAATAGAAATATTCACGAAGTATATAAAGGACAACCGAAGGAAGATGCGCAAATAATATATTTAATGTATGGTTTCCATATTTTAAGAAGGCATTGTGTAATTTTACATAAGACAATAGATTGGTTATCAGAAGGGGTTTTATGGAGATTTTAGTAATTTCAATAGTTGAGATCATGATTCAATTGAAGCTAGACCACCATGGAAAACCTGGAAGCACTGGAAAGCCGTTTCGTCCTATTGTGGGACTCCTCAGCAGCGCGCATCCACGACCCCACCTCGTGGGACGAAACGGACGTTCAGTGCTTCCAGGTTTTCCATCGTAGTCTAGCTTCAATTGACTCATGATCTCAACTACTGAGATTGGTTGTCCCTAACTGTTTTATCGTTCACTACATTATCACTTTATCTCTACAATGGCAGAAAAGGATTAATTTTAGTTACCGTTTTAAACCGTCTAAGTATTTGTATTGCTGACTTTATGTAATATAGGATAAAAGTTATTCATCTTTAAATTTCGCACAAAAACCAAGAAGTTATTCTCTCGATTCTGATTAGCTTGTTATCTCTATATCCATATACGTAGTGATAAATTAGATAGAAATATTAGGTCTAAGTACAATTATGTTTTTATTTCAAGAAACAAATGAACGACACTAACTACTACCGAGTCTAGATTACCTGGTTGAGGTCTGTGCGATTATCGTGACCAGTGGTTAGACAATTCGAATGATATTGTTGAAAATCGTTCGCAATGGCGCAGATGAACTTACTTTTTCCCCTCTCTTAGATCCCAAGTTTTTAAATTGCTTGTAATTTTCGTTAATCTAACAAATTTATATCCTCTCGAACGGTATCCTCGATACTTAATCATTTTCATTACTATCAATACTGTTAACACTTTTAATACTCTGGGATTTGTACTGACAATTTTATCTCTCTGTACTAATAAGGTATGGCAAGTTAAACCGATGTACACATGCGCCAGATTCTATGTTGCGTTTGACTGACTAGCTGACTGCTACTATTACTAGCTTTTCATCATTACAAAATACAATATGCCAAGAACAAAAA